TTCTGAAGCCTGGAACACGACCAGATAACAGGTTTTGAGATTGCAAAGCCTGGAGCACGATCAGATAGCAAGTGTAATCTCATCTCCCCAGTAAGTCACTGCAAAACCTAGAGCACGACCAGATAGCAGTCAGTCTTATTATCCTCAACAAATCACTGTAAAGCCTGGAGCACGACCAGATAGCAGTTCATTTTCATCTCCTCGACTAAGAGATGATTCCCCAGCAGAGTAACGGACAACTGAAGTTCCTAAAATTCCATTTCACCCAAAACAGAGACCAACATTCCTCAGTAGATTCCTCCTCAACGACAGGAACAAGAATTCTCATCAAAGGACTATCTCGGGAAATCAACATCCTCTAGATGGCATCTTTAAGCCCATCTCTGACGATTCTCCATCATATCTTTCAGATGGCATCTTTAAGCCCATCTCCGGTGACCTTCCGTCACCTCCTCCAAATGGCATATGTAAGCCCATTCCCGATACTACCTACATAGTCAAGCATCATTACAGATGAGTGCAAATTTTTGGGCACTCTAGTGTTCAATCATCTTCCACCTTCAGATCACGAAAGGCACACAAGCCAATCAAAATCTTCAGGTTTAAGAAGATTGAACAGGGGCAGCTGTTGTACCCCAAATTTTACACTCTTTTCATACACGCATATTATTGGTTTTATGGTTATGGAATAAAGGTATATTTATCAAGCTTCTTCAGGTTACAAGTGACGTTTATTTCGCCAATGGATGTTCTCAGTATTTTCCGTGCTGAAGATCGGTTCGCCGTTTTGCAATGATTCGGGGTTCAAAGATTTACAAGTCCAACCCGGCGCGTCATATTCAGGTGCTCTGTCGCTAAGATATCTCTGATAACGTATTCTCAAATTCAGGTTCGACTCAAGAGTCAATTGTTTAAAGAAGTTCTCCGTATGTGTGAGTTTTCTCGAAGAAATGTGGTGAAAAAGTGTGCTGAAAGTGCAGTTTTTACGCACTAAAAAATTCATAACTTGAAGATCGTGGCTTGTTTTTAACCCGTTCCAGTGGCCAAAATTCCGTCTTTACGTCATCTAAGTTTTCATCTCTCATGGCTGGAAGCCAATTTCGATCAGAAGGTCTTCAAAAATGCGGATTTATCAAGTATTTTCATACATAAAATTTGTGACAGAAGTTTATTTGTGTCATGTTCAGAAAATCATAACTTGGTCGATTTTCATTGTATCGAGCTAGTTCCAGCGCAAAAATTTCATAAATTGAGTTGGCTAAGTTTTCACAGGAGGTATTGAGTTTGAACGGTATCCAAAAGGCCTTCGTTTTTTGCTCAGAGTGCACGTGACGCGCTGAAAATCCTGAATGCTGAATATTATTTCATCTGGGTCGAAACTTCGAAAATTCATAACTCAATCAATTTTTTTCGGATTGGGCTCATCTTTTTACACAAGGTCACTGACTCAGAGATCTACAACTTTTCCTCCAAAGTTGAGACCGGGTTATGCTCCGATCAATAACAGTTTTTTATTGAAGAACGTGTCAGAGTTGACACTGGAGCCCAAAATAAGTTTGTCTGAGCCAAAACTTCAAAAATTCATAACTAATTCACCGTTTATCCGATTGAGCCCATTTTCGGGCAGGAGTTAGTTCTCGATGTTGCCTACAAATATATGATGACAGTTTCTTCGAACTTCTAAGGTATCCCTATATGTTTCCTTCTATGACCATAACGATGACCCGCGCTTGTCCCTCATACATCCAACGATAGGGCTACCTATTCACTAACAGTAGGATAACACTGTCTAAAGGTTAGGAGGAAAAGAACGACCTTTTTTAGTATAAGTAGATAAGTTCTTAGATGCTTGCTTAAAATAACTTTTTGCACCTACACAAAAATATTTTCAAAAACACTTTCAAAAATATTCGCCTTTTCAACACTCTTGAGGACTGATACAAGAGTTATCACAAAGCGAATCGCCGCACTAAGGCATTTTCAAAACAATTTTCAAAACACACAAAGCACAAACAATTTTTTAAAAAATGAGCAAGTACCTAAGAGCCCATGGAAAACCATGGATAGAAAGGGTGCTAACATCTTCTCTTTCTATAATCTACCCTCTGTACTCAGAAACATCTCGAAAAAGGTTTTTTCTGTTCTTTTTCCCTTTTCCTTTGTTGGATAAAATAAAAGTTGTTGGCGAATCTTCCTCACCGCACATTTTCCAATACAAAATGCAAACCATTATTAACAGTCGGTTCTGCCACCGTATCACAACAAGGTTCCTGAAGAAGTATGGAGTTGCAAACAACCATAGGTGAGTCATTTGACTGTGTTTGGCTTTATGTTTTACAAGCATGTTCCTGGTGTGAGAAGAAAGGAGCTCGATGACAAGAGTGAACCTATGATTCTGGTAGGATATTATAAATTCGGTGCATACAGGCTATTCAATCCAGTTAATGAGTAAATTATGTTGAGTTGATACATTGTGATTGACGAAAATTCTGCATGGGATTGGAATTTTGATGATGCAATTAACAAGCTATTGATGAGGTATGGTTTTGATGAAGAAACTGATGAAGTCGAAATCGAAGAAATTTCTAATATTCCAGTCGAAGTTAAAGTAGTTGCTGACATTCCTGACAATATCAAATTCGAAGAGGTTGTGGCTGAAACAAGCCAAAGACCTCAAAGAAATAGAGTTCTTCCAACAAGACTTCATGATTATGAAGTGGTTGGTGATGATGAAGTGGTTGGTCATGATGAAGTCACACCAGATGGAGAATTAGTTCATTTTGCTTTACTTGCAGGTGTTCAACCAGTCAACCATAACGAAGCTTTGAAGATTAAACAATAGAAGTTAGTTATGGTCGAAAAGTTACATGCAATCGAAAGAAACAAAACATGGAAGTTATTCGAATTGCCAACACATACAAGAGCTATCAAAGTAAAGTGGGTGTTCAAATTGAAATACAATGCTGATGGATGGATATCAAGATATAAAGCAAGATTAGTAGCTCGAGGATTTCTTCAACGAGAAGGACTCGACTACTCTGAAGTATTTGCTTCAGTAGCAAGATTGGAGACTATTCGACTAGTGGTAGCATTGGCATGTAACCAATGCTGGTCGACATTTCATTTAGATGTGAAATTGGCATTTCTAAATGGTCCTTTAGATGAAGAAGTCTATGTCACACAACCTCCTGGGTTTATGATTCAGAAGGAAGCGAGTAAAGTATATAATTTGCACAAAGTGTTATATGGCCTTAAGCAGACACCTAAGGCATGGAACAATAAGATTGACTCATACTTAGTCGAATTAGAATTTGTCAAATACAAATCAGAGTATGGTGTCTATGTTCAGGTTGTAACACAAAATATAACAATCATATGCTTACATGTCGAGGACTTTCTAGTAACTGGAAACAGCTTGGAGATCTTGTCAAAGTTCAAAGAGATGATGATGAAGGAATTTGAAATGTCGGATCTGGGAAAATTGTCTTATTTCCTAGGCATGAAATTTTGAATGTCGAAGCAAGGTATGATGCTACATCAAAGGAAGTATGTCAAAGAGATACTCAAGAGATTCATAATGGATGATTCGAATCCTACATCCTCACATGTCGAACCAAATATAAAGTTGGAGAAGAATCGAGAGGAAGACAGAGTCGTTTTAACTTTGTTCAAGCAAATCATGGGATCTCTGAGTATGTGTGCAACAATCAACCTAATATAGGTTTCACAGTTATATTAGTGAGCAGATACATGAGTGAACCAAGAGTGTCACACATGAAGGCTGCAAGAAGAATCCTAAGATACTTAAAATGATCAATAAACTGTGGAATACTATTTCGACAAGACTCTGAAAGCAAAGAAGCAACAATTAATTGTTTTTCAGATGCTGATTGGTGTGAAGATAAGGAAAACCGAAGAAGCACAATTGGATATTTCTTTCAAGTATTTGGTGCTCCAATTTCATGGTGTTCGAAGAAGTAACCTGGGGTGGCATTATCATCGTGTGAAGCTGAATATATAGCAGGATCCTATGTTGTATGTCAAGTAATTTGGATCAGATTTGTACTTGAAGAAATGACTGTCGAAGTAAAGAAACTTCTTGTATTGCAAATCGACAACAAGTCAACCATAAATTTGGCGAAGAATCCAGTTCTGTATGGAAGAAGTAAACACATCGAAGCTATGTTTCACTTCTTGAGGGCAAAGGTAAATTGAGGCGAACTTGAAGTTAGACATTACTCAAGTGAAGCACAATTGACTGACATTTTCACCAAAGGATTAAAGATCGACAAATTCCTGAATTTAAGAAAGAAATTATGAATAGTTCAGATTGACTATTTTTAAGTATGTTTGACAAATTGGATTAAGGGGTTATATTAAAATATTAGATTAGATTCGATTAGATTTAACATTTAAATATAATCTAAGTTGTGTAAGCCCAAATATAATTATAGTTGTATATAATAATCATAATATGTATCCTTATTTTGTGTAATACAATTCAAGTGAATAATAAAAAAATTATTTTCTTTATTATTTTCATCACTTAAAGTGTCTCACGCACTATCACGGCTCACTCTCCTAATTCCTAAGTTTCCCTAAAATTATAAAATTAATTTTTGTTTTGAATTAACAATAAATTTAATGAAATAACACTATCATGGTGATTTTATTGTATTTCAAATATATTATTTTTTATAATGTCAAGATTATGATTATTTACTTAAACAAAATAACAAAAGATACAAATACCAGCAAAGTTTGAAGTTTAAAGAAATTTCCGAAGAGTCCAAGTAAAGCAAAACACAAACGTTGTCCGGTTGGGTGGTGGATTGCTTCAAACAAAAATAACCACGCGTATTCCCAAGCTTCTCATTATTCCTATATAAATACTCCGACATCTCTTCAATTATATTCATCCCCACATCTCATCAACAATAATCTACATACACACAACCTCTTCACAATTCACATATTTTGTTTTTGTCCTTTGTTTCACCATGGCTTCATCAGGAACCACATTGAAGTTCTTTTTCGTCTTTGCCGTCTTGGCTGTCATGGCCTCAGCTCAAGACCTTGGCCTCTCGCCGGCTTCGACTCCGGCTCCAAGTCCCGATGCCGGAGCTGCAGGTTACGTTACAAGTTCTATGGCTATGATCGGAGTGTCAATTGTATTGTCAATGTTTGTGCTTTTGAAGCATTGAGAACTTCGTGATTGAGTCTACTTGTTATCTAGCTGCACCACATTGTAATATGTATAATAAAACGGAGGATAAATTTTTAGTTTTTGTAATGAATCGTTTATTGTATATGTTGAAAAAAATAAAGAATGATTTTAATTAATATCATTGTTGCATAAATAATTAATGTCATTGCTGAATTTTATTATTATTAAATTACTCATCCGTCTCATAATATATATCTTTTTTTTTTTATCTTAAATTATTTATCCTTTTAGAATACTAATGTGATATTTATTATTTCTTTTCATTAATTTACTCTTATTTATTGTAATTTAATTCATATAACTATTTCACTACCTATTATTAATAAGGTTATTTTAGTAAATAAGACTCATTTTATCATTGAAATCAACATAATTAATCATTATCTTAAAAAGTGTGAAAAATCTCAAAGAGGACACCTATTATTATTATTATTATTATTATTATTATTATTATTATTATTATTATTATTATTATTATTATTATTATTATTATTATTATTATTATTATTATTATTATTATTATTATTATTATTATTATTATTATTATATTTAAAAAATGTCTACAATCGATCAGTTAAACCATAAACTGAACATATATTTGATTCAAAGCTATCTAAAACTCAGATTGTCTAGGAAGCAGAATTAAACTGGAGGAACATAATTACCCTAGCCTTTTCTAGGACTATGTGGAGAAGTTTGACATCTCTTGCACTTTTGGTGATTTGGAGATTTTAGAGCTTTGTCATCTCAATGTTAGAATGAAAACTATTATTATAAGTAAACTCTATCAGTGGAAGATAACTATCTGACGTACCTTCCTACTCAATGACACAATCTCCAATGAGTCTTCTCTGTCTGGCCATCTATGTGTGGGTGGTATGCAGAACTCAATTTAAGCTTAGAGCCCAACGCATCCTACAAACTCTTCCAAAATCCAGAAGTAAATCTCAGGTCTCTATCAGAAATAATACTCGATGGAACCCCATGAAGCTTCACAATCACGCGGATGTAAATCTCTCCTAACTTTGGTACAGAAAAACTGATATTAATCGGAATGAAATGAGCCTATTTTGTCAGTCTATCAATGATCACCCAAATTGTATCATGCCCTCTTGGAGTACCCGGTAACCCTATCACAAAATCCATCGATATAATATCCCAATTCTATTCCGGAACATCTAACGGTTGCATCAATCCTGCAGATTTCTGATGTTCGACTTTTGACTTCTGACAAGTCAAACACGTATACACAAACTGCATCACATCACTTTCAATCCGGGCCACCAAAGTAACTTCTTCAAGTCTTGATAAATCTTAGTAGATCCTAGATGGATACTCAAACTACTTCTATGACTTTATTCCAGAATCATCTTTTTCAACTCAAAGTCTTCAGGAATATAAATTTTGTCGCGGAATCTCAAAGCACCTTGCACATCCACTTTAAAATTACTGTCCACAGACTGACTACTCCCAACTATCAAGTTTACCAACTTTACATCCAACTTCTGAGGTTCTTTAATATTATTCAAAAAATCATTGTTAATTTTTAGCATACCCAACCTTACACTCTGCATTGTTAACTCACTGACTAAACTCATATCTCTGAACTTCTCAATCAATTCTAGCTCTCTAATCATCATAACATACATATGCAAAGATTTCCGACTTAAAGCATCTGCCACAACATTAGCTTTACCCGAATGGTAATTTAAACCAAAGCCATAATCCTTTAACAACTCTAACCACATTTGTTGCCTCATATTCAATTATTTATGATCAAACAATTACTTCAAGCTCTTGTGATCACTAAACACTTCAAATCTAGAGCCATAAAGGTAACGCCTCCAAATCTTTAACACAAACACTACTGCAACCAATTCTAAATCAAGAGTAGGATAGTTCTTTTCATGAATCCTCAATTGCCTCGACGTATAAGCTACCATTTTGTCGTTCTGCATAAACACACCACCTAAACCCAATCTAGATGCATCACAATACACAACAAATTATTCTTCAGGATTAGGTAATATCAAAATCGGAGTCGTCAATTTCTTCTTCAACTTAGTAAAACTTTCCTCACACTGGACACCCCACACAAACGCTTTGCCTTTATAAGTCAGCTAAGTTAACAAAAGTGGAAACTTTGAAAAACCCTCAATAAACCTTATGTAATAACCAGCTAAGCCTAAAAAGTATCTAATCTCTGTAACTAATTTTGGAAGGTTTGATATGAAAGTGATTGTTATTGAAGAAGCTCGGGACCTGAGTAGCATTAAGGTTGATGAACTCATTGGCTCGTTACAAACCTTTGAGATATTCATCAATGATAGGGTTGAAAAGAAGAACAAATGTATAACATTTGTTTCCAACACTGAGGAAGAAGGAATTCAATATGATAAAGAAGAGAGCTTGTCAGATGCTATAGCCCTAGTTGGTAGAAAGTTCAACAAATATTTGCATAATCTAGATAGAAGATGGAGGACATATGTCCCAGAAAAGTTTTAGACATCAATCTATTGGACAAGTTCAAAGATTACAAAGGCAGGGGAGCACAATGTTATGAATGTGAAGGGTTTGATCATATAAAGGTTGAATATCCAATTCTAAAGAATCAGAAAAGGGGGATTGCCAATCATCTGGTAAGAATCTGATGGTGATGGAGAAATAGATAATAAAATGATCACTTTCGTTGGAAATTATGAATCATGCAGTGAGTCTAATGTTGAAGAAATCTCAATAGGGGAATTTGTTCAAACATATAGAGAGTTGCTCAATGAATGGAAGAAATCTTGCTTGAGAGCAGATAAACAAAAGAAGATCATAAGTGCTCTACTCATGAAAAAGTGAAGCAAAGCTCAACCATTGTAGATCAGAAAGAGGAAGTCACATTGTTAAAATCCAATCTAGACAATATGACAAAATCTATTCGTATGCTGAACAAAAGGGTCTGACATGTTAGATAAAATATTGGAAGTTGGGAAAATATCTAGAAACATGAAGGGAATTGGGTTTGACCCCAAGTTCATAAGCAAGAAGGACACAACTCAACCGAAGAAGTTTGTTCCACCTGAGAACAAAAATGAGTTCCAGACGGTAGACCACATGTCTCATCATCGTGCACGACATGTTTATCCCTATAACGGAAAGAACATGAATTTCAATAGAAGATGTCATCATTGTGATAGATATATTGTAAAAAGTTGGTTAATGAAGTAATGAAGCTGGTTAATAATCACCAAGATATTAAAAATAATAGTAAAATAAACATAAAAAAATATTTTTTTTATATTTTTAAAAAATATTATTTTATTATTATAATATTTTAATATTCACCGTATTAGTGAACAGTGAAATATGGTGTATTGTATAACTTTTAGTTCATGAATACTCCCTCCGTCTCACAATAGATATCCTCTTTGTGATTTTCACACTTTTTAAGATAATGATTAATTATATTGATTTCAATGTTAAAATGAATCTCATTTACTAAAATAACATTTTTAATAAAAAATAGTGAAGTAATTATATGAAATAAAATACAATAAATAAAAATAAATTAGTGGAAAAATAAATAAATGTCATATTAATATTTTAAATGAAAATATAATTTAACACAAATAAAAATAAGAAAGAGAATACATATTTTGAAAAGAGGTATATTTTTTAAACTTTAATACCTATTTTTGGTGGGATTCTATTTCCCTTACTATTAGGGAAGACTATACACCTAAAAGACTCATCTTTCAAGAATTTTAATTTATATCTCCTCTCGGTTTTTGTATTTTCTTTTCTTCTCTTTAATGTTATTTTAGGGCTATACCCTCTCTATTGAAAATAAGAAGACGAACGAATATGTCCCTAAAATAAATTTTCATTTTAAATAATTAAATTGTAAATAATAATAAACGCACTTTGTTGTACCCCAAAATTTGCCCTCTCATTCAAAGGATCATCCTGGATCCTCAGGTTTGCTTCCATCCAATTCCAAGCCTTGAATTACATATTTTCCAAGAAAGTCATTCGCAAGGGAAAATTGCTCATTTGCACACTGAAAAGTCAAACTTTGACTTTTGGATCAAAAATTAAGTTTCGAGAATCATATTTCATCAAGACATGTTGAAATGTGAAGTTTGTTTCATCAAGAAATTCAAAAGTCAAAATTACTTTGGAAAGGTCAAAATTCTAAATACTTAGAATTTTTCTAAGTGTTTAAGAAAAATGTCAAGTTCAGAACTTCTGGCCAGATTTCCACCATGATGCAAGTTGATTCTGGAAGAACTACTAACTCAAGAGTTTTAGATCTGAATGAGACCTAAAATACTGCAGAACATAACTTCTTCTAGAAATGCTAGGATTTCAAGTTATACATTCTCAAATTCACGTCCCTGAAACTTAAACACTTAGTAAATTCTGAGCATTTTCAAATCAGAATTTGTTTACAACTTCTGGGCCAGTTTTCACGTAGGTTCAGTCAGAAGTTGCAAGAGAAATTTAAAGAGGGCTTACAAAGCATGTAATAAGCTTTCTGGAAAGTCTGAGAACTCGCTCAGAACATGCTGAAGCAAAGAGATTAAAGGATCAGAAGTTGGATGTTGGTTCTAAGTTGCGTTGATGCTGAACTTCTGACCCAGAATTAAGCTATGATGCATAATCTCACATTGCAAAATTTCTGGTTTGATAAATCTCATCATCATTTAATGCTCACAACCACTTTTGAGTTTTTATCTAAAGGATTTCCCCACGTGTGACATAGAAGTACATTGTTGTCCTTGAAAAAGAAAACTTTTATACAAGAGTATGCTGGGCCCATGCTTTGCTTTTGCTTTTGAGGGTACTTTTCCTTAATTTATGCTTACAAATCCAACTTAGGCACGGCTAAAAGCTGCTAACCACCATACTTGTTTATCTTGCTTCAAGAACAAGCCATCACGCTAGCATGATGGTAGTACTTTTGACTTCTCTAAGCTACAAAATTCC